GTACAGGCTTTGTAGGTGTCACAAGCCACCATTTACTTATAGAATAAATGCAGAACTTCAAAACTCATGCACATAACATCCAACAAATGAAACCGAGATCAAGGTTAGTACTTCAACTTTTGGAGGAACTCTTCAAATCTGCTGTACTTACACCCCAGAACTCCTCTCTCAAACTACAGAAGTCAGCAGCACATCAGTGCATTTGGAGCACAGACCAAGACAAGGAAGAGATAAAGAGGTTTATTATAACTGGCTTCTCCAGCCAGCTGCTGACAGATTTGCCAATTCCTGTCTTAACCACAGAGTAAAATGAAGGGGCTCAGCATTTTTGAGGCGACCTCTCTCATCTCCCAGCATCAGCCTCTGTGAATTAGGAGGAGGTGCACTGGCCCACAAACATCTCATTTGCAGGGAATTTATGATCTGAACAACATTACTCAGATCAAATGGTTAATAAAAAGTACCTTCTTTCCTGAAAATGAGGGGAAGCTTTAGTCACTTGGCACATTTCTTTTGCACACACTTAAGAGTTATGAAATCACTTAAGTATTTGGAGAACCTTTTTGTCATTAATAATCAGGGGCAGGGAGCTTCTAACACTGCTGTCACCCAGTCTAAGCCACCAGGACTATGCCCTAAACCTGAAGCTTCCCAGCTCTCTTCCACAGGCACTTCCAAGCTGCACTGCTAACTTAACTTACCCTTCCATTACGCTTCCATCCACACCACGGGCTGGAGCTGAAAGCCAGCACAGGAGTGTCCCCAGGGAAAGGCACACACAATCAGCAGGCAGGGTACTGACACCAGAAATGTTCAGGTGCCCTTCTGTCTCTGATCAGGACAAGTATTCAGGAGCCTGTGAAGACTTTGACTGATGAGGCATTTTCTAAGAGCAGTCAATTCCTGGTTGTCTCTGTGCCAGTATCAGCTCATTGCTAGAGCTGCTCCACTCACAATGGATTAGTATTAAAGGACAGGTCTGCAACCCTCCCCACCTCATTAATATTCATTTTAGATTTTAAATTCCAGTTACACAAGGACTCATGCCCAAGCCTTGATGCCTCATAAATTATATTCCATTTTTAAACCTGCAGCATTCACTCTCATTGTTTCAGAAGGAAAACACTAGCAGAGACAGCTTTAGGCAAGCTGCTTTTGTTGAAAAGAATACTATCTAAAGCCCTGCTTTAACTTCATTAGCCCACAAAGATTTGTACTACAACGAATCCTGCCTGCAAAGCACAAATACAACTGCCAGCAAATTTTAATTCTGTCAATATTCTGCTTTTGTTCCAGCTGCCAAAGCAAGTGCATATAATGTCTGCAGCTGAATAAACTCACAAAAGGCAACTTACCAAGGGAAGATTTGAAAATAACAACCACCATAAAGAAATCAAATTAAGAGACAAAGTGACTCTATATGTACTTTGTCTCCTGGCAAACATGGGTGGGTGATGTGGATGATTTTGCATTTAGAGCTACCACATTAGACAGCAAACCTGGCTTTGATGGTCAGAAGAAAGGAGAAGAGACTGAAGCCTTCTCTGTAAGGATGGGGGCCAATTTTTGGGTAGCAGTCTCCTCCTTCTGTGAAACCCCAAGCCTTGTTACACAGGACATCCTTCTAGTCTCCACTACTGAAGGAATTAACAGCAAAAGGAAAAAGAAACTTTGCTCATTTTACCTTTAAAGAAGGTCAAAGTTGCTGTAGCACAGATTTCAAGTTCAACAGCCTGTTAGTTTAAAACATGGAGAGGTAACTGGAAACAAAAAGTATTTGACATCATTCTTCTACCTGCCTTCTAAAAAGCCTTCAGCAGGGAGAGGAGCAGACCAGGCTCGTTTCCCAGCCCAGGATGAGTAGGCTGTCACTTGCAAGGGATGAGAGACTTTTATCAAGCTCTTCTTCTGCAGATGCACTATCCTGTCATTTTTATAAAGAATTAACACATATCCTCTTGTCCACTCCAAGGCAGCCACAGAGGTGGTAATTACAGCCTCTCATTGAATGGTCCAGGAGGAGACATCATTTAAGTAAGTAAGCCCCATAAAGTACACATGAAGCACATGAATATACATGTGGAAATCAGAATTATAGAATCCTCTAGACTGAGTATCAAATTCAAAGGCAAATATTTTAGCTGGACTTTAACTCTGGAAGCCTGGATTGATGACTTTCTTCCCCTATCTTTTAAATCACTGTCCCCTAACCAGGTTCATTCCAGCCCTCAAAAACCTTCTTCACAAGATGCTTCCCCATTTTGACTCAGCTCTGAAAAGCAAGGATTAACACTCTTGATCCCACTCCAGTGGTGGTGGATCTTGTTCACCTTCCATATGATGTCTGAATCTATTGCCCACACAAAAGCCCAGTAAACCCATAATTAAGGGTACAGATGGGGAAGACCAAGCACAGGAACAAAAGAACACAGCCTCTGGAGAATTCCCTTTTCCAACCACTTAATTTCTAGGTGAAAAGGAACTGCTCAACTCTGGGAGCAGCTGGAATAGCAGTATCCTTACTCCTGTGCTAGTGCAGCACCTCTCCAGTCACTCTCCCTGCTCTCCAATCTGCCCTGCTCCTCCTTCCAGCTCCCAAAGGCTGAAGCACTGCACTGCTTCCTGCAGTGACATCCTGCAGGTTTCCATGTCACTCTCCCCAACAGCCTGACCACACTCATTGTTAATTCCCACCATCAGACCATTCTCCATCCTCCAGCCAAATCCAGCTTGCCTTTTTCCTACCCTCTCCATTCCTGGCTTGCTCTCTCTGGTCACTGCCTCTCCCTCATGTCTGAGGGAGCTGCAATCACCTTCCTGCCTTTGCTTGATAAGGAAACCCCACTGCAGATCCAGTGCTGGCTAGTAAGGAAAACTGCACGCCTGAAACTCCAGAAACTGAGATTACTGTAATCATAATACAAGCCAAGAGCAGTCTGACAGTGGCCTTTTAAGCCACTGTGCTTTTGAGCATTACTGCAGTCACAGAGTGCAAGCTGTCAAAAACCCATTAAGATTTCACAGCTTGATCAGCAAAAAAAGCACTGGTGAACTGACAAGCAACAATCAACAATCAGTAGTAATTAATCTAATATAGTCTCAAGCCATCTGTTAGTCTCGCAAAACATAATTTTTATGACTTCCTCAGATTCCCAATGTTCAAATAATGAAACTTCTTGTTTCCAAAGAATGCATTTGTAACAGGCATTCAAAATAGAATGTCCCCCTGCTCTTTACCATGTGCTGTATTTTTATTTTTGATCTTTCTGTAGTTGGTAGGAGTACGGTTCTGTTCATTTGGATTTCAAATTTTTTGCAATATATTAACGGTCCAATAAAGATTTTAAAAGACAAAATATTTTGAGACTAATTTTCCTATGTACTACTGCCATCAGTCTCAACCACTGAACAGTACAAATTGTTCAAGTATCTGTTTCCCCTTCCAAAGTCCTTTAACCTTTTATTTTTTTTTCCAGAACTACATTTAGATGCACACGCAGGAGCTGTAAGCAAACGTGAGCTTCCCTGTTGCTAAGCAACTGTGTGCCAGAGCCTGCCCTGCCACTGTTGTAAGCAACAGCACCACAGCTGCCACGTTTGGAATTCGCTCAGCGTCAAGAAATGTAAGCTAAATATTTTGGATGAGACGCCCAATCTTCTTAAAATGGGTGTGAGCAACAATGAAAGAGAAATAGATCTGGAGATGACCAGACTCATGAGTAATCCTAACACTGTGGGACAATTTTCCCCATCAGAACACTCAGGCTGTATTTCAGAATGCAGCTATTAGTGTTTCTCTAAATTAGCCGTCTTGCTCAATTTCCACTCAGACCACTATACACTGTTTTGAGGTACTATTTTCAAAACATTCCTTTTTGTAAGTGTTAGAAATAGTAATTGTGATCATTCAGCTAAATAAAAGGTTTGTTTTAAAGTGCCTTTTTGAAAACCTTTCATTGGATGTCAAGACCTGACACTGTGAAAAAAAAAAAGTAAATTCTAATGCTCATCTTCTAATCTTAAGGTAGTCCCTGCTAAACTGTGTGGACAAATCTTCTAGGCAATTAAAACCCACATTTTTTTATAGTTTCTAATTTAGTTTCTTGTTTGTAACACAATCAGAGGTAAAACTATCTCAGGATCAGGCTCTGAATCAGTACTTGGCAAAGACTCAAGATACCACTGTCTTATGCATTTCCTAACTTACTGCACCACTTTTCCTTCTTTGGAATTGCTCTGTCCTAAAGAGCAGAGATCTTTGTCAGTTTTCTAAGATGACAGGAAACAGTCTTTATCCTCCACTGTTTCAGAAAGCTACAAAAAAAGTCACTTTTACCTTAAGCCTCAGTCCACAGTTCCTTGGTGAACTTAAAACAAATTGAGCCTTATTCTAACTTCATTCACCTGAGTTACACACCAAAGTTTCACAGTTTAAATGGTCCCCAGCTGAGAGGCTCATGCAAAATAAACAGCTGCTCTCTTCCAGAGTTTCTTACACTCTTGCCTTTCCCCTGACTCTGTACAACAAAACCTGTACACCTCCAGGACACTGTGTGTGGTTTCACAGACAGATTTCATACCTACTGCACTCTCATGCAGGTTATGACAAGTCTGTATCTAAAGATCCCTGAACTCTGCTGTTAATAAACTGTATGCCATTCCTTAAAAATATCCTTAATACATCAGAATTTTCTATTGCCAAAGAAGTAAACTCCACCAATAAACTACTGTCAATACACTCCACCTGCTATGCTAGTAAAATCACTTATTCATTTTGCTGAAAACCAGAACTCCTGGGTCACCTCTTGCCCCAGCAAGTTCACTGACCCTGAAACACTTCTTTGGTCTTGCTGAGAACCAGGAGCTGGAGCCCAGAGCACCTCCACAGGAGAGACTCCAACCCCACCCCTCCAACCTCCCATCACTACACCTGCTCACATGGCCACACACACACACACACACTTTGCTCCACAACTTCTCCAAATAAAGCAACTCTGACCTCAGTCTGAAGATTTCTCTTTATTAGCATGGTATTTTTCCATTAAGTATTCATAAGTTGTTTGTTCCAAGACAAAACAAACCACAGAAACTTGGTAAGCTGCCAGACTATTAATATTTGTACTCCTGGTATCTGGAACACTCACTGTTTTTAACAGCATTTTATGGTCCTCAATGCTGTCCAGGATTAAAAATAGTATTTAATTCTTAACTCTGATTAACAAAATTATTAAGCTATAATTGAGAGAAAAAACACTTAGTAGAACAAAGGCAGCAGAACACCAAAGACAAAGCTCAGGTTTGATGTACAAAGTTAAGAAGCACCAGGAAAAGCAACTTATGAGGGAGACTGAGGAGAAGATGAAGAAGAGGTACCTGAACTTTTCCTGAGGAAATGCTGCATGATGACACCCCATGATTCATGTGAATCATGTTCTGGGCTTGAAATTTTACACAACATTGGTGATAGCAGGTTTAGGTTTTCTTCTGTAGAAAAAAAGAAATACAGAGATGTATCCAGTTTCATCGCCTCCTGCCTAACCAATTCCTTGCCTCTTACTTGGATGGCACATCCCAAACAACAGCTGGCAGTGCCAGAAACCATTTTAAAATAAGTGCAGGGAAAAAAAACCCAAACACTTTAGTACATTGATTCACAGATATTTTCATTTCATAAGGAACTCACAATATCTGTGGAAATCACACAGTGTCTGATCTGCTGTAACGCAGAAAAACTGATCTTCATCTCAACCAAAAAACCTGCTTAATCATTTATAACGTTGGGACAACCAGACTTGGAATTCTGTAACCTGTTTTGAAAGTGGTAAACTAAAAAAAGAGGAAATCAAATCATTCTATTATATATTAGAGCTGTCCTACCACCACTGCAACCAAAGTGGCAACCTCCTTAAAGCATAGGCAAGTAAGTGGGGAAAGCAATACCTTGTCATGCCGCAGTTAGATTTGCCAGAGGCTATTTGCTAGAACCCACAATGACATTAATGAGAAGCCTACTACAAAAACACTGACAGCACTGTCGATACTTTCAAGGACAAACAGCTTTTAGACTCACCTGAGAGCACTGGCTGTTAACACTGGCTCTCTGTATTGCCATAACAAGCACAAAGGCAGGCACAGGAGATCTCTGGCGTGGAACAGTTGGTACAGAGAGCCCAGCACTAGCCACAACTAGTCCAGGTCCTGCAGACCAAACACCCTCTGACAGCTGAACAACCTTCCAGGCCAATTCTCCTGTCAGACTCGTGTCCATCGTGCCTCCCAAGACTAGTCCATGATGCACATCTAAGCACTGGAGGTGCAGAGGACCATGAGACTGGCTTGGAACACACACTGCCCAGGCAAACAAAAACCCAGAGGCTGCAACACACCTGCAGCTGTTCATGCACACACAGGGATCCTTCTCAAACAGGCCCAAACTAAACTGAGGCTGAACACAGCTTTCTGCTTACACTGTTCAACCACAGGTGGTCAATACCTTAAAGGTTATCAGAAGACAACCACCATGTCCTGTTAGGCAGTGAGGTACTAAACATCTTTCATAGTACAGTCCAAGATACAAGGAACAGGCACAGAGCTGCTAATAGCCTACATGATCACTGTTCCACTCTAAAACACCCAAAAATCTAAAAAACTACAAAAGAAAAAAAAAACCAAAAACCACTACATAAAACCAACCTAAACACCTTCTTTGGGAACTGATATTCAAAGCCAGTATCTCATTTTCAGTCTCTGTCTCAATAAATCCTGCCCAGCCACAGGACAATGATAATCTACAAAGTATTCCCTAATACCTTGTCCCAATTTCAATTTTTTTAATCAACCATAGCAGTATTGGAACAAAAGTAACTAGACTATTAGATGATGTTTGTAAAATTTCACAAAAGAAAGCCTTCAGGGGACTTCCAGGGGAGGTGGCGAGTTTCCTTCAACCATTTTCTATTTGATTGCCAGTTTAAAGTCAGAATTCTCTGGTCCTGACAAATTATCCAGCTCCACCAATCCTCACACCTCCAGAACTGATGAAGCAACGTTTCAGTGCAGACAGCCAGTAACACCCATTAATTTCCCCTGTTAGGTAGAAGTGGTGTTTTAAAGAAAAATGATCTTTCAGGCTGCTTTCACTGAAAACTAAACACTGCCTTTTCCTGGTCTCCATGGTGAGAATGCCTGAACTGTGAGCTGTTTGGAATAAGGCTGCCATCTAGGAGCAGAGCAGAGGAAATGCAGAGAAATCTCAAGATAAAATTTGAACTGTGAGCCCACTTGATGGTCAGACATGCTATTACACAAAGCTATAAACACTGGAAACACAGATCTTCAGGGAAAATGGATAAGAAGTGGCAGAAGACAGAACTTATTAAAAGGTGGTTTATAAGCAGACAGTTCCCAATACAATCCTAAACTATTTGGTTCACAATAAACAGTTTATCCAGTCAGGCAAGTCAACATGTACAGAGCTGCACTAAGTACTGCACTTCATCTTTTTTTCATTAAAAAACTGCAGCCTAATTCACTTTTTCTGACAGAGTATTTTTCCATGTGAGGTTGCAGGCTACAAAAAAATGCAGTGAAATAAATGAAGTCAGCCTGAACCACAATGACAGCCAAAGGCAGAGCCTACAATCTTACACTGAAACCAGTCACAAGAAAACCTTCGTGTAAGCAACTTCCTGAAGCCTTACCATATTTATTCTTGCTTCTCAGAAACTATGCATTTCCAAGCAAGTCAGAGCTGCAGTACACAGAATTTTACTCTTTTGTCATTCAACTGTCACTGGCTTTATTTTACTTTCATAGACCAAGAAGGCAATTTACAATTATAATCTACAGTGATTTGCCAATGTTTCATCTGTGGATCATCTCTAACACACAAAAGAAAGAGTTCTTAAGATCTATCATGCTGATGCCTATTTTGTACAAAGCAGACACTTTCCAGTTCAGTTACTGAATATGTTCCAAGAAATCTGTCTTGGCACACCACAGTTACCAGGGCTTTTGGAAGAGGCTGAAATGTCCTGTCCATACAGGAAAGAATGCCTTGTTTCTGGTTGGTGGGAAGAAAAAGTCAGATTTCTTGCTTTGCCAGATCCCCTGGCAAAGACCCACTCCCTCCCTAGAGTGTTTTCAAGGCCACCTGCTTCCATCACATTTCTCAAAGAAACTGGAAGCCATCAGGGGAAGTAAAGTAGCATGAGGATATGTGGGAAAGAGTTGACAGAAGAGACCTGGGGAATACAAAGAGAACACAGAAATAGAACTCAACCACTGGCTCAGAACCTCCACCAAAGGAGAACAAATGCACATTAGAGGTATAAACATTTTTCAAAAGTACTGATTAGAAAAGGCACCAATCTAAATGTAGAAATTAACTTACAGTTTTGTCACATCCAACAGCATTAACTTTGGTCCTGTGACAGTGACCAATTTCTGCAGGAGCAGAAAGAGACAGAAACCTGTAGGAAAGCAGGTTATAGCACCAGAGTGACTGCCTTGGCAGCTCCCCCCGTCCCTTCCTAACACAGCACATCTCATTCCAGCAACAGAAGCAACACCAGCCTGACCATACCCTCAATTCAGAACTTGCCTTTTGTCACTGGGACTTGTAACTTACCATGCAAATGCATTCTCTATCCTTAAGACTGACTCATCTGTCCTCACTACTGGTATCTGTGACAGGCTACAGCTCTGGGAAGCACAAGTTCAATGATGCAGAGAAGTAGGCCTTGTATTTGCAATTTCTCATTTACTGGAATAAAGACAAATGTGTTTTAGTGCCTTAAGCACATTTCCACACCATCTCTCTCATCCAGTGTTAACAAGGATGCAAATAATTCCTTTGGATTTATTAGGGTAAATTAATTCCTTAGGATATAAGAAGTGAAAAACACTTTCCATGCTTCCTGCTTTCACTTACACAGTTTGCATTTGATTGGTGTCTTGTGGCTTAACTTGAAGCTATCACAGCTCCTTCTGTTAATCAGTAACTAATAAACAGCCAGTATCTGATAGTCCAAGCTTTATTAATAAACATCTTGGTTTCCACCCAGAGATCAGTTCTGTAGCTGAACCTCATTAGGCAATTCTCATTACTCAATGTGGTACTGAAAAACACCAGTAATACTGAAGAAAAAGACATTTAGTTGCATTTCCCTTCCTAGAATAAAGCAAATGAATGGTGACTAAATCCCAGTGTGTCAGATTTCCTACACCTCCTCCCTCAGGATTTTACACAGCTTGAGGCTTTGGAGTTTTTGCGTGGTAAAATAAAATCCCCAGAGAGTTACTTAAGGAAGAATTTTGGCTGAAATTGCACTACATCACTTTAAGAAAGACTACTTTGTTGAATGTCTTCCCTAGAACTATTTATATCAAAACAGCTCAATTTTGCACACTCAGGTAGACTTTGGTATTTACAGTCAGCAATTCAAACACAATTCCAGTAAGAATTATGCTTTTAAAAAACAGTCAGAAAAAGCTATGGGGAGTAATAGGAACTACCACGTCATGTTTTGGAAATACCAGTCACAGGATGCCAACTGCAGATCTACATTTCTGACGTCTCCTTCTCTCCCTCTCCAGTAAATAATGGACCAAGAAAGAGTACAGGATAAGAACTTACCAGCTGGACAAGGCAGATACTCAGCAAATAATTGCTACAAAACAAGAGCTTGGCTCTCAAACTTCAGGAGTCTGACCACCAAAGTACACGATTTTTAAAAAACAACTCTACGGAGCAAGAAATTATCTTCTAGAGATAATTCATAAAAATATGAAGTTGTCTAACAAAATAATCCTCCCAAATGAAACCATTTTAATTTTCGTCCTACCAGAAGTATATCACACCTATTACAAAATGTCATACCTAGGATGAATACCAGATTTTTAAGAGGATTAAAACCAACATACCCTGAGTATCACAAATGTACTTAATTCTCAGTTCAATAAAATATTGGAATATCAATTTATTAAAAAGTTATGTGAACTGTACATACGTAAACTGCAATATAGCTGAAAAATCTGAAATATATAATTTTAAAGGAAAATCATTTATTTCTGAAAATATTTAAAATATTGCATTTCTGGCAGCAAATTCAAAAGAAGTGCTCTGGCATGGGTGCAGTCTCTCTGTGTATTTGTCTTCAAGGCATGAAACATATCTGCTTTCTGATTTTTCACAGCACAATCTTGTGACCACTTTCTTTCTGACTTGTAGAGGCAAAATTCGATTTCCAAGAACAGGAGCAGAATTTTGAACAGGAAATGCTATGGTCCTTGTTGGTGCAGACAACATACTTTCCGAGAGTCCACGGCACCTTGGCAATCTGCTAGCCATCCTGCATAAAACTGCATCAGATTGTGCTCACAAGTTACAGAATAAGTCTTTGATTGATAATTTTTCTGTTTATTTCCGCCAAGGCCACTGAAAATACGAAGGCCTTTTCATCTGATAGGTTAGCATACATGTCAACTTCTTTTTCTTGTTTCTCTGTAGAGGAAAAAAAAGTCACTATTAGAAGCTTTTTCCATTATTTGACGTTAATGCAAGTTACACAGAAATTAATAAATTACGTGAAGGAGTGGAACTGAAGTTAGACAATCAACTCCTATGCACAGAGGGAGTGAGAAAGAGGAGGAAGTAATAGCGGCACACAAAGATGCTGGAAGAGCCACAGAATGAGTCAGCCAAAAGCATGACTGAATTTCTCCTCTTTAACAATGAAGGGAGAATGAATCATTAACATAAAGATAAGTATTCAAGTGTTCCTTCAGGTTTTTTTAGTTTTAGTGGTTTGGGGTTTTTTTTCTTTACACGACCACCTCCCATCCAAGAAAACAAAAGTTATTTCACAATATGCTCATTAAACACAAGATTTGCCCCCTTACACCACAACTACATGAAAGAAACCTGAGAGTTTAATGACAGTGACAAAGGCCAAAGAGCAGATACCTGCATGACATCAGGCTCCAAATTTACCATCATGCACATTTCTGGACTTTCTACACTGCAGACTTTCCATCTTATCCCAGCTGTAGAACAATGCTAACACATGTCATTGAGCAAGTAAAAGCCCATGAGTTCCCTGTGCTGATGCTGGCTTGCTTCAATACCACAGACACACAACAGAAAGCCATCAAAAAGTTTCTGTACTGCAGTGCTCAAATAACCCAAGTTACACTACAAACACCCATAAAATAATACAATTTGAGAAATACCACTTGCATAAATACCACCTCTTCCAGATTATAACTAGTTCTATCCCAGTTCAGCTAGCCACAGGTAGCTGACACAAATTGTTAAAAAAATAAAGCCAACAAAGAAACAGTTTTGTCAGCAGAAGACCAGGTTTGTAAACAGAAGGAAGAGAGAAACAGATTTAGAGCTTTCAGCTGTGGAACTCCATCTCTAATCCAGGCTCCACGTGGCCTGGACTCATTTCCAGTCACAGCACAAAGCTCACCTGAGAGACCCCTCTGTCTCACTAACACACAGTCACACATATCCACACTGGCAACTGCTCCACCCAGACACCTGGTGTCCAGGCAGCACTGGAAAATAATAGAAAGCATGATCAGGAACAAAGATCCCAGTAGCTCCCATCTCCACCTACCCACAGTTACCCTTCAATGGGCTCACACTCCTAACAATGGTTTTATCTGGTTTCACATTTGTGCTGCAGCTACAGACAGAACTCCAGCAGACTGCCTTCCATGTGAAATCAAGTGCTTGTGCTCAACAGCTGAGTGGGAGAAGCTCCAAAATCCTTTACCACTGTGTTCTGGTTTAATACTGACACAGAAACAGCAGAAACCAGCTTTTTGCTGACTTCCTGGCTATACAAGGCAATATCCTCTAGTGCATTGAGTTTGAAAGTGAGTTTCGCTGCCAGTCCTACCCTGCAGTTTAACACAAACCAGCTTCTATACATACACCCTGGGCTGCTCCACTTCCTCCCTCTCACCATTTAAAAATTAACAATGCTGGGAGTAGTTCTGAGTACAGACACTACACACACTGGTTATTCCACATTAACCTTTTCTATTTTCATATCTAAGCCCCACCCCTTGTTTCATACTTCCTGATCCAAACGAATCCAGCCACAACTTGAACATATCAGCAAAATTAAAAATACTCCCTCCCCCTGCACCACACCCTGGCTGCTGTTAACAGACTGTGGACTTCTTAGCTTCCCTTCCTCCCAGATCAGCCTTATTCTGAGACTTCATCTTGCAGAAATCTTGATATCAAAGAGTATGAGGGATTAACACAGATGTGCAGGCTTCATGCACCCTCAGGACAATTGCAGTTCTCATCAGTAACAAGTAAGAGCTCATACTTGCAAGACATTTTATCATACACTACTCCTAGGATACCACAGCTTCCACACACACTCTGGAAACTTTCCACTTCAGTCTTATTTGAGAGTAGTTTTGACTCATTTCTCTATTATGAGCCAAAGAAAAACAGTATTCTGTTTCTACAAGACAGTAAGACATTAATAACTAGGGAGTTTGCTATACAACTAAGAGGCTAGTTAGGCAAAAATAGTTTTTCTGGATCACATCTCTTGTACCCCAGATCTCCTGCAATCCCCTTATACTGCAGTCCTTAAAACTGATTATGTATAAATCACATATGGTCCTCCCCCTTTCACAAATTTTTGTATTGATTCATTTTTCAAGACAGCAAGTTACTTCAAATATCTGCACTGGGTAAGTAAATATGTGAGTAATGCAGCTGTAATTTACAGAAAAAAAGAAAACTTGCATTAACAAAATGTATTCAACTTTTTATCAGGATACTGAAATGTATATATCTACCTTTATGAAGATTTGGCCTGCTAAGTAATGAGTCTGCTTTAGCAAGTCTACTTATTCTTACTGAGACTTATTGCTGGTAGCCTCTTTCAGAGCAACCAATACCACTTCCTCCAGTATAAAAGGATTTTTGTTTGCTTTACTACAATTAGGCTTTTACCCAGATAACAAGGCAACCTGGGAACCAGTCTAGCTGTGTGTCACAGTCCCACACAGTAAAACAAAGAACACACCTCCACAACAAAATCAGAGTCAAATTATTATGGAGTGTTTGTATCTCCAAAATACATTGCAGTACATCTGACAAAGAAATTAAGTGACAATTTTGACAAGCCAAGGCTGCAGGGAGGAGTTCCTATTTTCCAGGGTCATCACATGGCTCTGAAACATGTGATAGGGTAATTTTCTGGGTCCCAGTACTGCCATATCCCCTCAATCTGCATCTGCTTCCTCTTTCCTCCCCCTCCATTCCTCGTTGCTAAATCTGCAGGGAAAATAGAATAAGCAAAAAAGCCTTTTTGCTTATTCTATTCTTCTTAATTGCCACAGCTCTTTGCTCTAATGTGAGCCAGTCACGAAGGACACAAAAGAACCAGTCAAAGGCACAGACATAACTGGGAACAAGCACACTGAGTATGGAATTGCATGACAAGCAAGGAAGCAAAGCTACAGATGTCACTGGGGTCTTTAGGAAGGAAATTTTCACAGTTGGATGGTCTTCAAATGTACAGATAATCTGTTCTTCCATGTTAATACAACTGAGGTGTTTTCTGTCTGCCTGTTTTCCCATCTAGAAATGCATTAGGAATCAAGTATGTAAACCATGCAAGCAGTGGCTTCTTTTTAAGTCTTTGGGGCAAAAGCACAACCTCTAGTGGCAACTAAAAAGGACCCAAAATATCCTTGAAACATACAACAGGCAAGGAAATAAGATACTGACATCTTGCTCTGCAGAGCTGACTTTCAACACATACAGACTGCTGCAAGGACTAGCAACCACTCACACAAAAACTACCTTAACTGTAGTAGAATAACAGTTGTTTAATATAGACAAACAACACTATCAAGCAGCACATGTGGTAAAGGAATAATATTTCTGAAATTCCCACTAATTACTCCACACACAGTAGTTTCAATTTTGTAAGCAACTTGAAAAGGGAGAGGCCAATGTTAATTTGTTTTAGTAATTACTTACAAAAGGATAAGCTCCCTGCTGAATTTATTTTTATAGCCATGACAGCCTTATATATAAACCTTTTTTTTCATCTGCCTGATAATCATTACACATACTACAATCTGACATAATCAGAAGTAAAAAAATATTCTAAGCCTACTTACTCCTGAACAATAAGATGAGCTGCACTGGGGCAAAGACAATGACAAATGGGTATGAGCCAAATCCCTGCACAGGAGGCTGAGGAACAAACAGCCATCACAAGATCAAGGAAAAGGCAGGGTAAAAACAGCGTAAGAAGATGAAGGCAATCTTATCAAGTAAGATTCAACTTTAAGGCAACACCAAGAAAAGGCACACCACACACACTCTCATGCCAAGATCCCACTACACCCAGATCTCTACTCTTCTACCTCCAAGCACTGCAGTATTGTCACACTTTAGAGTTTGCAGCAAGAGGTTTGGACAGGAAAACATGTTCTCTTAATATCCCTCCTGCTGTCAAATTCTTGCTTTTTGGAAATTATAATACATGTTTTAAGAAAATGGATCTTTTCCTTTGGTTGCTTATATTGCTTTCCTCTTTGTCAGGGGACAGAAAAGAAGATTCACTTTTATAGGGCAACCCAACCAGGTCACTGGAATTTTAAAACCAAGGCTGTTTGTGAACAAGACTGGCAGTTAAATTCCTAGAAAGGACCCTAAAGCTACCGAAGTCCAGCTTGGGTCACTAACAAATAGGGACCTGCTATTATGACTTCTTGACATCAATAAATCACATGAAACAGTGATGAGATTAGATGCTACAAAGTGCATTTCTATTACAGTAAAAAATCGCCATCTGGAAAATGTACAGAAATTAAATTCCACCTCCTCTTCCCACATTGAAAGCACTAAAAACCCCCAACAAATCCAATTTATACTTGGTTTTTACATTAAAGAAACATTAAGAAATAGATTTACATTAAACAGCAGAGATATCAAACTTGGTTTTAAGTCAGAAATTGAAGGACTTCCCAACATGGATTATCACCTTTTTATATATAAGGTGGAAAGGAAGAAATAATTGCATTTCTGAATTATGCCACATGATATACTTCAAGATTTCAGGAGTTTTGGGAACAATATCTGCTGAATATTTGTATGAAGTTTTGTCATTCCCCTTTTTCTGCCTTCCAACCTTCTGAAGCCCATGCTAAGTTTTGGATTCATAACTCAGGTCTAAAACCACTATCTCCAAAAACACAGCTAGAAAATGCAGCGTCAATAGGCTCGTAACACAAGAGGAACCCTAAGTGACAGTTACACTCTTGAGGGCTTCTAGAATTACTCTAGCTATATAACAGCCTCTTTAATCATTCTGTATAATGATTAAAACCAGCAGGTCACCAATGACCCTGAACAGGCAAGGAGGCATTTTCCTCCAGAAACACAGGACCAAAATTCAAGTTATAGTAGTGATTCAAGATGCCCTTTTTACTTAGGCCCTCTAAAAGGTTTCAAGAAACTTTTAAAGTAATCCAGTCATCCTAACATCCTAATCCCCTCTTTGACAAAAAAAACACCCTACTTAACACTTCAGTCCAATGGCTTTCAACCTACACGTTGAAACTTGATACAGTGGCTAAAAATACAGATTTAGATCTTTGTAGTCAGTTTCATCACACACTGAAACATAAAACCAGAGGTCTCTACACATGCAAATCAGTCCCTTCCTCACATTAAGGTATCAGGTACTGGCTGAACTAGTCTACTTACTGAATGGTATAAAGGTTTGCTGATTAAAAAAGATACAAATAGAAAATTCAACAAACAGATTCTGCAGCTCTCATACCTCTTTCTTCCTCATGCTTTTTCGCTGAGGCACTCTTAGGTCTTCCTCTTCCCCGTCTGCTATGGTCTGAATGGCTGTTGGACCTGGATCTTTTTCGGTTTTCCAAGTCTTTGTTTACTGCAGAATTTATCTTCTCTCGCTTAACTCTCTCTGTCCGCCTCCTTTTGGCCTCACTCTTGTTTTCTGTGCAAATGAGCAGAAATGGCATGATCTAGGGTTGTTTTCACCTTTGTTCTTAATTTTCTCTTAATGCTTACCCCACCCAACCAACCTTTTCCTTTAAAGTGCTCAGATGCCCATACCTTTACAGAACAATTGCATCTGCACGATATCCATGCAGAAATTCGGGTGCCAGATCCAGAAGGGTGCTTCACTTCTTGACTCCAAACACAACCCTTTAATTACTTCAAAATCATTTTGCTGCCTGAGATGTTTGCTGGTACACAAGAAGCTGTTTCCCAAATAAGATAGGAACGCCAACTGCACACATCACAGCCTTTAAGACACCCCATTGTATTTGTTCCACTAGCAAAAGTTTACCATACAGCAAACACCACAGCACTGGGGCTTCCAATGACACTGACAATGAAATCATTGCTGCTGCTCAGACAAATCGAATGCTGAGTCAACAGTGCTGGCAGAGAATGCCTCAGAACACAGTGAATGTGTCCCACCACATCCAACCTGTGACAAGGCCCCCTCATGCTCACTGCTGAACAGGTATTGTTCTCCTCAACACCCAACTCAGTAAAATAGAAGAGCATTTACATGAGTTTTATCTGGAAGTTAGGCATGAATTAATGAGCTTGGGTACCAAATATCATACAGTCACCACAGCACACTCATGGGTTAGCTGCACATTTGTAAGGCTGCAGCACCACAGTAGCTGTACTGCTGAAAATACTGGAACAACACTTTGTAAAAGAAGTTGTGGTTACCTTAGGAGCACAATATCAACATACACAATGTCCTACTGTATCTCTCTGGGGAACTGATCTCCTTTGGCTGCAGTTGTCCCATTGATCTTGCACTGACATGGGGTACAAGCTGGACAGCAGGGTCCAGTCACTGAAGCTCATAGAGAACCTGTACTTCACAGTGTCACACCAGGGTGAGGTAGCAGGGGAACCTCTCCAGACCCTGCCTAATCCCTGCTCACACAGGGCCACCAAGAGCAAGCTGCCCAGAACCATGTCCAGAAGGCTTCTGAGCACCTCCAAGGATGGAGACTCCACAACCTCTTGGACAACCTTTGCCAGTGCTGGGTCACACCCACAGTAAAAAGCACTGTCCAGAGCTGCTTTCCAGCAGCATGGCCCCCAGCATGTCTGCTTTTTGCCTCCCCTGGTGCATTTCCTCTTGTGCAAAACTGAATTATACAACCAGATCGTGGCCTTCAGCTTCATTTGGTAACTACTTCATCAAAAAAGCAGGAGGAGGAAAGAAAATTGACCAACACTTCCAATCTACCAGAGACATTTCCTAACCTATTCCACCTTGAAAGTTCAGTTGTCAGCATAATGTCACCTAATTCCTACAAGTGGTAATCTACAGCTATCCTTCAAAACATTGATACAAAACATCAAATAGCTGACTTCCATTTTATAGGTCTGGTAGATCATTTTTAAAAGGAGGTATTCTAGATCAGGTATTTGTTGGGTTTGTGTCACGTTTTTTGGGGTTTTTTTAAATATACATATCTTCTCTTTTTCTGATTAATTCCTATTAGTGGAGGCAGCAATATAAATGAACATAGTGAGAACGCTATTCATGCCAGAAAGCACATTCAACTGACTTCTTACTGTGTCCATCAACAAAAGACACACAGGTCAGGCACAAAAAAAAGCACTATTTAATTTAATCATGGAGAGAGAAGCAAGTTCCACCCAGTTTTAGATGAAACATTATGATTCATTTTTTATTTTCAGAAAACCCAGCCTCAGTCAGCATGTGCTCTGAAATCAGATCCTTTTGGGACCTCAACACTTTTGTCTTCAAAACAGGATCAACACAAAGCATTTTGTAAGGGGTTATTTTGCATAGTGATCAATGTGTGCAGCTAGAACATACACAGAATAAATGCCAACATCATGAGTACAAAGGAAGACTGAAAACACCAGCTTCCCTCTTCTCCTCAAAAATCAAGAAAAAATAACATATTCAAAGTCTACCATGGACACATTGAAGGGAAAGTGAACTGACAACAGTCAATTTACACAGAGAAGTAAAACCCACTATCTTTTGCCTCCAGGAAACAAGGGGAAAGAACTGTTGCTCCCTTCTCCCCCACTGTGCAAGTATTACCTGTGATGGGCGGTGATCTCTCAGCACGTTTAGCATGCAAGAGTTTTCGACTGATAAATATGTAGCCACAGGGACATGATTTACATGCAACAGGAACCTGGGAAAACAAAAGACAAATTTTTCAGATAATTTCAAATTATGACAAAACTTCTGTCCCATGAAGAAAAAACACAGTAACTCACATTTTGTCCTCAGAGGTAACTCTTCAAACGCAGTCTGTACTGCAAACCACAGCCTGTCCTGTGTACTGTATTTAAACATAATAAAGCCAGATTCTGCTGTAAATCACTCACCAAGCCTTTTCTTTATGCAGTTGTTAAAAATCAAGCTTGAAATGTACAGCTGTTGTGATTGCTTTGCACTACTTTTCCCCAGACTGACAGGAAGGGGGTGGGGGAAAGTAGAGAGCATTAAAGGAAGGCTGAATTAAAATAGAATTAGTTTCTCTTCAGAGCTCTCAAATATCAGTAGTCAAATCAGTCAGACATTTCCAGTTTTGCTTCCTCTATATGCTTGTAAAAAAAAAATAATTATGAGTTAAAACCGTCAGTACACTGCGAATGCATTCACTTTCAGCAGCATTTGAAAGCAGCTCCTTCAGAGAGGAGCAGCTTTACAGGCACAATAGAGCCTGAAGCGAAACAGATGCATTTGCAGCACGCTCTGCTCCAGCGCTGCAGACAGGGCCGGGTGGGTACAGAAGGACCTCGTTAATTCAAAATGCAAATAACCCAGCCCAGGCAGGCAAGAACTGACTGCAGGCCCAGGAGTTTGAGACAACACAGTGCCTCTGAGCAGCTAAGCAGATAGCAGCAGTATGCTCCCCCAGAAAATAACAATGTAAAACAAGAAATACCACATTTAATATGAAAAATAATAAGAATCCACTCAAGAGCAATTTAAAAAAGCAACACTGATACATTCCAAACTCATTACCTTAGCACCAAGATCTTTTGAGATCTTTTAGAGTAGTAAGCAATACACCATGTTGCTTTGATTAGGTTTAAGACTGAAAACACAAATCAAAGCAAGTTTAGGCAGAGATCTGGAAGAGATTAAATAATACACATTAAAGTGGAGTCATGCTGAAGCATGATAGTGGGGGGAAAAAGGCAGGAGGTAATTTCTCAAATGTAATTCTTTAAGACAGGTCACTACAAGTGTGCCAATATCCACTGAAACAAACAGGAGCACAGAACCACAACTGCCCTCTCAATTTAACCAGACATGGGAAAGAACCAAGTTCCACAGTTCTACTGACTCAAAAAACCCTGCCAAATTAGCATGTGAATTTGTAAAGGGGAACTCAACTGCTACTCAGAATAAAAAATTATTTTGCTTTCTGTAGAACATCTGAACTCCTGCACTTCAGCCTACAAAAAGCTTGCAGAGAGACTTTTTGATACAGGTTTTGCAGAACTAGAGATTTTAACTCCCTTTATGGAGACACTGACATAATAAAATGAGTCCAACAGAGGTTTATTGAACTTTAAAGGTCAGAATTTAGCAGACTTGTGTGCACAGTTCTATACGTCGGTGTAACAATACTGAAGCCCCACCATCTCACAGATAATTGTGTGTGTTCTTAATGTAATACAGAATTCCAGCTAAATCCATTTCTGAACCCATTGGGTCTCTACAATAATTACCTTTCCAGGCTTGGCCTAAAAAAAAAAAAACTTTGGCAAAGCCACCCAAGGGGATTGGAACAGAGTCAGTATTTTTCAAGGAACTCAAGTGTGTTTAACAGAACAATACTGTTCTCGTGTTACAGGTTTAGCACGTAGGGGTGTGCAACTTTGAGGGTGGGGGGCCTGGGAGAAGGGGTTTATCACTGAAACCTATCAGTTATCCTTTGAAGATCCACACTGATCCTGCAACATAATTAAGGCAAAAGAGTCCTAAACACTATTTCACACTGTTTAGCATTTTCCTAATAAAAAGGGAATTTTTCTCATACAAGACATTTTACCTGATGCTAAATTAAGAAGTGATTATTATTTCTTCAGATTGACTGCAAGTTCTTCAGGCTCCCTAGTTTAACGAACTGTGCTTTGATTGTGAAAATACTGAAATATGATATATTATCTAAATTACAACAGAAAAAAAGTTTTTAAGTCTAAGAAGTGTTACTCAATATTTTGCTCCAATTGTGGCTGTCTAAATATTTCCATGCATGCCACTTCTACTGAAAAAATCAGAAACAAATGCTAAGCCCTTGCTCATGGAAGAATTTAAGAAACACCAGCACAGGACACAGTCAGATAAGAATTATCTGAGCGTTTCCTCAAAATCTGCAAAGGGTGGACTTGTACTGTAGGCCTTAGCTTCTTGCTCCCTCTCGAATATTTGGCAGTGGAAAACAAGGTGTTTTCCACTATGAGCAATGTGTCCCGGGGCAGGACATATAAGCACATAAAATCCATGGAAGCCATAGAGGAGGTGCTAACAGAAAATCTGCATTGACCAAAACTAAAACACATGATATGCATATAAGTGCAGAACAAAGTGACACTTTTCATGTCAGCTTAAAAATCCTACAGTGCTTTCCTTACTTATTGTTGGTAGTTTAACATTCACTACATTCATCAAAAAAAAAAAAACAAAAAAAACAAAACAAAACAAAAAAAATAAATAAACAAAAAAAAAAAACCCACACCACTCTCATATATGATTTCTCCCTCGTTTTCGTTTCTCCTTTCACCAAGCGAACAACCAGGACGTGGCACACGATTTCTGTCTCGGCAGCAGCATTTCAGTGACGTGCCTAACGTGCCTTTGCAGCGGTGGATCCGTCGGTTAACACTGAAAGGACGCCCACACACAGCTCAGCACTCCCAGCTGTGCCAGCACGAGCAGGAATACTGTTAAAAACTATGCAAGGCGGAACAAAAAATGCTATTTTTCTAAAGCTGTGCAAGTAGAGGAAAATGACGTGAGGCTGTTTATTTTTTTGTAGGTATGGCTAAAGCAGGGGGTGACTTTGCAGGGTCACAGAACGGCCCCGGAGTGCATGTGACAGGGCTGCCCCCCGGCCGAGCCCCACGGCCGCCGCTGCAGCGCCGGGCCATTGTTCGGAGCTCCGCTGCTTTCTGTACTCGCATCATTCCCAGTAAACGGAGACAAGCTCCTGACACGGCAGCGGTGCAAGCAGCTGCCGCTCCGTGCGAGGGTGAGCAGCTCCATTTTGTGCACACCAGAACGCGCAGGGGGACACCGACAGCTCAGGCGGGCACTCGGGAGCCGGGCAGAAATTGCACCAAAGGTCTCCATTTCGCTGCTTCCCGACCACCCCCGGGAGAACACCACCTCTGAGCCCTCTCCCGCCCGGCCCCGGGCACATCAGTCATCCGAAGGGCAACTGCATTATATAAATCACCCGGTTCATTGTCTTTTTAACAGATCACACAGTTACTAAACAACACCAGCAGATAAACATGAGATTCTGCAGTCGCGCAGAAAACCCTCAGCACAATTCAACTACTCCGCTACCCTGCCAGAGGGACGCGGCGTTCAACACACATTCCATGGAAAGCTGCAAGGGCAACAACCATTGAGTTCACACAAACACCGACTCGAGCCGCACGGAGTCGGTCTGCCCGCTCCGCCCTCCGCAGCGCAGCGTCCGCCGGCAGCCGCTCACCTGCTGGTCGCACTCGGGGCAGGACTTGGTGGCCATCTTCACTTTCTTGGCCCGACTGGAGGACATGCTCGCTGCTGCCGTGGCTGGGCTGACACGGCCGCGGCCGGAGCGCCCGCCCCGGGAGGAGCCGGCGGGAGGAGCGGGAGGAAGGAGGTGGAGCGAGGAGCCGGCGTGAGGGAGCGGCCAGAGGAGGAGGTGGCGGGAGGAAGGAGGTGCAGTTGCAGTGAGCAGCCGGAGGGAGGGAGGGAGGGAGAGGCCAGAGGAGCCCCGCGCGCCCCCGACGCAGGACAAGCCCCGCCCACCTCCGCGCGCGCGAGCGGCCGGCTCTGCCCTTGCCACCGGATTGGCTGCGTGAGGGCGGCGCTTGGAGCCCCCTGGCGGCCGCGCTGGGAGCGGTGAGGGGAGCGGGAATGAGGGAGCCTGACAGAAATGTCGCTCCGTCAGAAAGCACCAAACACCACTTGTCTGGTGTCTACCTCAATTCAGAAGAAGACAAGTCTGCAGCAGAGGGCGTGTTCGTCGCCTGCCGCACTGGAGGGAGCCTGCTGGTCCAAGAGCGGCGTGTCTGGCCGTGCCTTTTAGCGGGGTTCTGCTCACAAACGGGATGTTTTGAGTACAATGCCCTCAGACAGCAGTGTGCTACTGCCAGGCCAACACCGGGACCAGGACCAGAGCAACAGGAACAGCCGTTCAGCCGGGCCTGAATTTCTGACACATAATTGCATTTATGTCCTAGCAAGTATCCTCCACATTGTCATGCCAGCCCTCTCCGTCCTTACTACCAATACAGTCTGATGAATAAAGAATCAAACGTCGTTTGCAGTGTCCTCTCCTGTGCCAGGACAACCTGTTGATTTTTTTTCTTCCTCTTCCTCGAGTGTGCCCTGAGCCTGGCTCCCACACGGGGCACGAGAAGGTCCCGTTCTGTCATAGTGGGCACTGGGGCACTGTGGGCTCCCCGTGTGTGTGCTGGTTTCTGGCTGTGTACACAGCTACTACACTGCCTCATCTGTCCTTTTCCTTTCCTCCTCAGTATTTAACTTATGACTCAGAGGGTGGATTTGTTTCCCTGTTCTCCGTGCATATTTTTTTCCAGCCTATACCAGTCCTTTGGCGCAGGTGTTTCTCCAGAGATACACAAAGACAAGACAGGTTTATTTTCCATATAAACTGTGACTGCTGCCAGAAAGCAAATATGTTCTATGTAGGCAAACACCCAGATTTCATTCCTGAATCCAGAACAAATCCATGCAACCAGGGCCTTGAGGTTGCATTTGGATTTTTAATTTTTTTTTCCTTAATTGATAAGGTCCAGACATAGCAAAACATAGAAAGGTATTTGAGGAGGATTTATAACAGCAGGGGGCCCTGCTGAGTATAGTAACAGTATCTAGTAAATAAATTAATGAATATACAAGTGAGCTCACAGAGATCTATGATAATACCCTAATTTTCTTAATAGAGCAAATAAAGCAGTCAGCAGTTCAACTACTCCTTAAAAAAAAAAAAGTTTTCCTTACTGAATGCAATCAAGGTTATTCCTAGCTAGAAAACTGATTTACCATACATGTATTTTTCATGTTATTCTATGTTTTAAGACATTATTTTTGAGTTCTGAAAGTCCAAAACTATTTCTTTTACATAATTTCAGAGGTTTAATCCAGCACTGAGATAAAAATAACAAATACCATTTTAAGGGTACAGGTACTTTCTCTCTTAACAGAGTCAAGGCACTTTGCAAGACCAAGCCCCACTTAAAATGTCTTTTACACCAATTTAGAATAGAAAATAAGAAAATTTTGCAAAGTTTCTATCTTATGAAAAGCTGCATGCGACTTTGTAAGTGCCTGATGTATTCTTTTCTTTGCTGCTGTCACCAGAGACCAGCAGAGCTGAATGGCCTGAGATGTTTCCACTGCCTGGCACATCAACTGCCTGCACATGGCAGTATTTTGGTGAGCAACTATAACCTTGCAAGGAAACAAAAATTCCAAAGTAGGAACAATCCACACATCTAATCCACCTTAGAGTGGGAGAGAGAAGCACTCCTGAGTTGTATTTCTGCTCAGCACTCCAGGCAATTTGGAAGCATCCTACTCTCCTGCAGCGTCCCCTGGGAGAGCTGACAGCCTTGGGCTCTGTCAGCCCCAATGTGCTGACAAAACACAGCAAATTGAGAAATTAAATTCCTAAAGTGCTGTGCAACCTTGTGTCAAAAAGGTTATAAAACACATCCTGGTGAAGTTAAACACATCTTAATTAGCCAGCTATAGTCAGCAGGGATATTATTCTTTCCACGGCCAAAGTACTATCGAGAGAATTCTTAAGTTATGCCTAAAATACAAGATTAGGATGCATGAGAGCAAAATTACAAATAATAGGAAGTGCTAGATTATAATATTTGCAATGTTACCATGAAGGAATTGAAGTTGTAATGGGACAGTATTCAACTGGCAAGAAGAATACACTGTATAAAAAAAATACAGTGCTTATACAGAAAAGCTTCAATCCTATTTTATATTTCTGATTTTGGTAATTTTGATAATAACAATAGTTTATAGTACTTCATAATGTTACTGTGCTTCTCACCAGTAGATTTCAGAGCAGCTGTAATCTGAGCCCCGTGAGTCCTTTCACAGGCAATCAAAGTCATGCCTAACAAGTCTTTTGAGATCCCATTACTTTGAATTTGGGCAAGACCAACATTTAAGTGGCACAAATGTTGGCTTTGTTCTCCAAGTACAGCTAAATATTGAGTGTTTCTCAATTGCAAAACATTTTTAAATTCACAATGTTGTTAAGCATTGATGCCTCTTGGTTTCAGGAAGCCCAGGCTTAGGCTGGCTCCTGCCTCTGGCTCAGCTGAGCACATTAATATAGTTTCACCAAAAGCAGCTTACATTATTTTCATAGAACATCTTTTCAATTAGTTCTTATGAAGAGAATTCAATAGATTAATTTACACATTCCATCTGAGTTTGGTTTTTGGGTGGAAAGTTGGGCTTTTTTTTTCTCTTTATCATGAGATAAGTTGTTAAACATTAAGGTATGAAGTCACTTAACTGGCACTTTTGCAGTGGACTGCATTGAGCTTTGCACCAAATCTTAAAGTTTTATGTGCAGTTTGAAGAACAGTATAAATAGTCATTTCTCTAAAGATACTCCTTATATTCTGAACTACTACCATGAGCAGTAGTCCACAGTAAAAAAACCACATCCTCCTTACTTGTACAACACAGAATACAGAAAACCTTGCTCTTTTTGTCTGAATAAACCTGGTTATAATAATGCAGTTTCCATTTATTTAGTGTGCTCAAAGATTCCCAAATATCATTAAAAACACTTTGGCATTTTAAGCTATTGAGAGCAGTTTTCTATCCAGCGTCTTTGTTTCAATGGAACAGCAGCAGCAGCAGAATGAATGCTCAGTTACCACATGTCATTATTGTAATCATGGGGTTTAAACCATGCAACTATTCATGGCAAAGCAGCTTGCTGAAGGTCTGTCAGACTGGAACATGTGACAGCAGCTGTTATTCTGTTTATCACCCTCATTTCTCCAAGTCTCCATCTACCTTTCCATGTATTTATACATTTGCTGCCGTTCTGTATCTCTAGCTTGGCACCATCAACATGAAATTCATTATTTTAGCTTCTTATAACTGCAAGAAAAGCAGCTTGTGTCTTTATGACTAGAGGTAGAACACAACATGGAACCTTGGTAAGCAGCACGGTCCACCTTCAGTGTCTGGTTTGTCTGAAACTTGTGTTCATATGATCTGCACATTCATTTAGGAACAACTTTGCCTCAACGTGGCAAGTTCAACCTACACTATTTACTTTCAGGAAAGCATCTGTATTAAAATAACCTTTGGAGACACATTTACCACCTGTAAAGAGAGAGATACGTTTCTCTAACACCATACTGCATTTACCATGGAAAGGCTTTGTTTCATCCCATTTATTTCCTGTGTGCATTTTTAAGAAATTACCCAGATTACTGAATTCCAGTTTTGCAAATATTTATTCCAATGTTCTACGAGAACCATTTTGGCTTGTGCCAAGTGCATTTGCAGGTGTCGAGCCTCCGTCCAAGGCTGCCTGTGTTACACAGTAACCAGCACCCTTATAGAATTTGCAAGCAAGGTCTGAGGGTTGCTTGGATTGTCACCAGTGCAGGGCCAGAGGTGTCAGGGGATCTGTGCCTTTCCTTGTGGGGGATCAGGCAGACTGGGGGCAGTGCTGGCTGGACACTTTCTGCTAGGCCAGCTCTTTGTGGGGGGCGGATCGGGGGTGGAACAGCAGCGTGTGGACCAAGAGCAAAGGTTAACTTGTGTTCTTCCCCCAGCAAAATTAATGTTTCCAGATTACAAACCAAACTCTGATCCTTAATAGTCTGAGCAGCATTTCAGCCCTGATTTCTAAGGAACCATGAAATACACTTAAATCAAGATACCTGGGAAGTCTACTTGTATCCACTGAATGTAAATATCAGAATTTAAAATAATTTTAACATTTCAGATCATCTGATAAAAGCTTACTATAAAATCCAATCTGGTTTTGTGGTAAATCCAACCTTGACATGTCTTACCACAGCTTGAAATATTTTCTTCTGAACTACTTTTTATCAAACCTAGAAAAAAGGGACATGACACCATTAATTATCGAGCTGCCAGATTCAGAGAGCACTCAGTTTTCCAGATACACAATTGATGACAACTTTAAAAGTAAAGTGTCAAAACATACAGGCTCCAAAACCTGACATTTCAAAAGTTAAAAAGGCTTATGGGAAAAAAATCAGATGCAGTATCCTGGAACAGCTGCTGCGGCTTCGAGTAAACAAAAATGGACTTCTTGGAACGTGAATTTCTAACAGAGCACTCTATTGGGTCATTCTGTGGGCAGAATTTTGGAGGGAGGACAAGCAGGGCCAGAAACACTCAACATGGCCTTCGCAAACTGAACAGTAAACAAGAAAAAGCTCTTAGTAAAATCAGTACAATGACTGGAAACAAAAAACAAATGAGTTTTCTGCACCACCTCAAGAATGTTCCTTCAGCACAAAAAAATTTCCATCTCTGTTATTTTGTTAACTATGAATTGCCTAAAATCCTCAAGCAGCAATTATTTTTAAATTAACACAAAGCAAGTGCTGAAAAATATTGCACTT